ATATACGATGTCATAATACTTTTTCTAAAAATTTACAAAATTAAGTTACGTACTGTGCCATCGCGTGTAGTACACACCAACAAACTGCATATTTATACTGGGTCAGGCGCAACATTTACATAGTATGTATCTTCTGCTTGATGTGTTTAGTTGTTAGATTGCATAAATTACGTAATTGCGATCTTTTTTTTAAATATTTGAGATATGTGTTACACATTTTGTCGTTTTTTTTTTTTTTTTTTTTTTTTTTTTTTTTTTTTTTTTTTTGTCTATTTACTTTGTCGTTTTCAGGAGTAATTATTACGAAATTATGTTCCAGCCCTAAGCTATGTCTGAAAATAAAAAACAACTTTTAAAAAATAATTTACTTCTATGAAGATGAAAATATAAGTTTTCAATCGTTTGTTAAAAGCAGAAAAGGCATTTGACTTTGTAGAGACATTAGGTTATTTGGAAGCAGGAGAGATGAAAAATGAGCAACGCCTTCGCCGGGAATCGAACCACGGACCTCTGGAATACGCGTCCAGCGTGCAGAACCGCAACATCACGAAGGCACGCTAGGAAAGCGAGGGAAATACCTTATATACTCCCCCTTTTAAAAGGCGACTGGGGTTTTTATGGGACAAAATCGCCAAATTCTGAGTGAGGAGAATCATCATCCAACACCTTTTTAGTTCGGGCGCCACTGTAGAGACATTAGGTATTTTTTGGAAGCAGGAAAGAGGAAAATTTATCAACGCCTTCGCCGGGAATCGAACAGAGGACCTCTCAATTACGCGCTGAGTGTGCTAACCACTACATCACGAAAGTACGCAAAGAAGGCGGGAGAAATACCTTTGCGAAATGTCTAAACTTAAATGAGGAAATAGTAAGAGTAACTTTAAAAAACATTTTATTTTTTGTTTTTAAGATTTCAGAACGCATCCCTCCAATTTGTATTTGTATTGGTATTACCTCCCGCATGACTTGGTTTCACATAACACGGTATTTCCTAGTGACCTATCTACCATGTTTTAGGAGGAATACGTGTATAGTAATTGCATTTTTAGTTGCGAGGAATTCTACGCAATGAAATCCTCTGTCTATACGCCTCTAATTGAAGCATTAAGCTGATAATATAATTCTGTCTTATTTGTAGAACCAAGTATGTGAAGATGTTCTAGGTTAGATAGTTTACAAGGAGTTTGGGATATTTAAGCTTGCCGGATTAGAGAGATGTTTGACAGAATTCAAAATGAGATAAATTTATAGCATTTCTGTTATATACATTGTAGCTGTTGTTTAGTCAACGTAATTTAGTTCTATTCATTTACATCTCGCAGATCTTCACAAATATAATATACGTTTTTTTAACTTGTTATTGTCTTATTTTTGTCAATTAATTCTTTGGTGGGCATTACATCGTGAGTATATCCGCGTCCAATCATTTTGTTTGATCCGTTCGTGAGATGAAAGCAACTGAGAAAAGTCTTAACGAATTTATTATAGTTCAGGACTTGTATATTTTGATGCATATAATGCTTTTACAATTTAATCCTTCTACCATGCATTTAACTTTAATTTTAAACTGAATACATTTTATAAATTACTTTAATGTTTTTGACATATGAAGTAAAGTACTTGCAAAATCTTCAAGAAGAAGGAATTCATGGTATTTCCATTATTATCAAAAGTTTTGCAAATAACAGTAATTCCTAGTTTAAAAGTCCTCCAAGTGCTGTTTCATTGGTCAGGGTTACATTAGTCAACAATCCGTTCAGTTTGACTCTCTGACTCTTAATGACGATAAGGATAACAGCAACAATAATAATAATAACAAAAACAATAATACAGGTCGTTGGGAATGTTCCGAGTTCAACAGCAGACAGTTTAGTTCCTACAAAGAGAGCAAGAATTTAAACAGAAAGATGTGCAAAAACTTATTGACCAGGCGCTTAAAAGCTCGGATATGGCAAGAAATAAGCAAAAACTTATACTATGATAGAAAACGCCGTGAAGCAGATTTTAAAGTTGGGGGATAAAGTGTTGAAGCGGAAATTTTCTTTATCAATTATATTATTGCCCCAGATAATTTTACTGCAAAGTTAGCTCCAAAATTTGAAGGCCCCTATGTAATTCAGGAAATCAAGGGAGTCGTATTGTACCTTAAGAAACGAGAGAGGGAAATCTGTAAAGCAAGTCCCGACCAGGTGAAAAAATATTATAATCAAAATGATTTTGAAATCCTTAGAAGTTTCTTGCAGGACTCAAGCGTAAAAGAAGTAGAAGGTCCAGAAGTAACGTCACCCGTTCCACCACCCAAGAAGCAGAGAACTGAAGAGAAACCTAGCCCTTCTATAAGTCATGCGGCGGTACCGAAAAGAAAGAAATGAAAACTTTCAGACTCCAGCATTTAAGAAATACAAGAAAGCAAAGCCGCCGCGTAAAGAAACCTTGGTAAAGAGGAAAAACACCACTTACAACGTATCGCAGTAGAAATTCTACATCGAGTAGAACGCTTCCAGGGCCAGAGAGTCAGGTGCAAATAAGGCCGCCGTTCCGGAAAACAAAAACACAGCAGGAGGAACGAAAAGACCACCAACAACAGAAGAAATTTCCAAGCACGATTCCAGACGGGAGGACGCCAAGACCAGCCGTCCAGGGGAAAAACGAAAAAGACAGCAACCCGAAGACTACTACTCCAAGAGGCCAGCATGCAGAGGACGTAAAAGAAAAATTAATGTGGACGACACTCGGAAGTCATTAACCCATTCCCTCCCATGGGCCCCATTTGGGGATCACGAAAATTTTTATCTTGTCCATCCCTAAATTTTAGGTTTTCATTTATTTTTAAAGTCATGTGTCTACATAATAGTCTACTCTTAATGTAGATAGCTAATTTATTAGTTTTATTTGCAAAATAAAATACATATATGACATTTTTTCGAAAAATTTCCTGTAAAAACAACGCTTTTTTCACATATGTCTATTTTCTAAGTGAATATCTGTTAATTTATATTAAAATGAATTATTTTTTCTGACAGAGGTTGTTTGCACATGAGTTCTGAGTAATATAAAATAAAAATTGAGCACATGGTTTACTTCATGCCGTCAGCACCTGTAAAATACAATGATCCCCATTTGGGGCTCACGGTTATTGCAATGTAAAATGATTTATTTATGCTACAATTGAAATTTTCATTTGTTCAGTTATCTGGCGCCATATGTTTCCGGAATTTCCAAAAGGCTGTTACCCACAAAGTGTGGAATGCTTCCACTGACAAATATAGACCTGATACGGGGGGAAAGAAAAAGGGGGAGAGTTCCAGAAAGAATGTTTCTAACGAAAATGTTGAATTTGCCCACTAATAATAATAATAGAAACAAGATGTGGGGGTGGAAATAGCAGGTGTTGAGAGCAGGTGATTCTGAAACGCACCTGCTTCTAATTGGGGTGGGACGTCGCTAGCCCTTTTCGTCTATTGGGCAAGATATTTAAAATTTTAGAGCAGATGGACATGAACATTGTGCTGAGAAGTTGTGTCATTTAGAGAGTTTTATCCGCAAGATCAACATGGTTGGATTTTGATAAATGTCAGTATTATTATAATTTGTGTTTTTTAAATATTTTTTTATTTCATTTGGATAATCATGAGTAGAAGAAAATTTTCAACGCTAAGAGAGCTTGAAGAATATTGGGACAATGATCTTGATTTGACAGATGATGATGACCCAGGAGGTACTATTGACATAGTTGAATTACCACCAGATAGAACGGATGATGTGTCTGATTTAGAAGATATAGATGACAACATTCTGGAAGATACAATTCCAAACGATGTTCCAGGTTTATTAGAAATTCATGGCGGTAGGTGTAATGAAGAAGTTACTGTTCAAAGAAAAAAGAAACCTAAAAAAGAAAAACCCATATCAAGGTGGAAAAGAGAAAGAGCATCATTCAACATTTCTAGTCAGGGAGAAGAAGAGTGCGAGCAACGTAGAATGACCATGATAGAAAGAGTAAAAGATAAAAGACCAGTAGAAATTTTTGAAATGTTCTTCACAGATGATCTAGTAATCACATCGTACAGCAAAGTGTATCTTATGCAACTCAAAATAATCGTCACCAATTTACGCTCTCTTCAGACTGCTTCAAAAAATTTTTGGGATTTTTACTGTTAACTAGATATCACTCTTTGCCTCAAGAGCAGATGTATTGGTCAGGAGAAGAAGATATAGATATTGGAATTGTAAGGAAATGTATGTCGAAAAATCGTTATATTGAAATAAAAAGAAATCTACATTTCAGTGACAATACAAATATACCACTAATAAATGGAAACAAAGACAGATTATTTAAAATACGACCAATCTTGGATGAGCTGAATAAAGCATTTATGCAGTTCGGCGTATTTTCGTATAACATATGTATTGATGAACAAATGGTACGTTATTATGGTCATCATTTTCTAAAGCAGTTTTATTAGAGGAAAGCCCATTCGCTTTGGGTTCAAGCAATGGGCAATGTGTTGTGGTGTGACCGGATATTGCTATAATGCTGACATCTATGAAGGTAAGCCAAGTAGAATTTCAGAAGAAGATAATTTAGAAGGAGATACTTATGGATTAGGTGTGTCAGTAATATTGAATAAGATAGCAACCATAGACAAACCAGAGGAACACTGCTTTTATTTCGATAATTTTTTCACAAGTTTTGATTTGCTGAAAAATCTAAAAGAGAGAAATATACCTGCGACAGGAACGGTGAGATGTAATAGGATGAATAAGTGCCCTATAAAAACAGATAAGGAAATGAAGAAAGAATTTAGAGGGGCTTTTGATTATAGATATGATGAAATAAATGGAATATTTGGTCTTGTTTGGAAAGATAACAGCATTGTTAAAATGTTATCAAATCATTTGGAAGTTTTACCTTTGGGACGTGTGCCGAGATGGTCTAGGGCTGAGAAAAAAAAATATTAATTCCACAACCCAATGCCATTATAAATTACAATAAGAACATGGGAGGTGTTGACAAGCTTGACTGGAATGTACAAAAGTATAGGATAAAAATTAGAGGCAAAAAATGGTACTTTCCTATTTTCACTAATGCAGTGGATGTGGCTCTAGTTAATGCTCATACAATATATTGTATTGCTAATGGAAAAATGCCGCTATTAAATTTCAGACGAGAAGTTCCACGGTTCTATTTGAATTTACATTCCGTGTCTGACCCGAAAAATTGTGGACGACCATCGTACAGTGTGAGTTCACAGAAGCGCGTACCAGAAGACGTAAGAAAAAATCCTCAAGGACATTATTTAGAAAGAACATTGGACGGAAAACAAAGAAAATGTGCGGTTTGTAAAAAAAATGTTCGGAAACAGTGCGTGAAGTGTGATGTAGGATTACACGTAGAATGTGTTATTCCATGGCACTCTTAAAAAAATTTACAGTTATTACATGCAATGTACCGTGATCCCCAAATGGGGATTGATTTTTAAATCCATAAAAAACATATTTTTTTTTCTGTATTGTAAAATTTAATGTACTAAATTGGTTTACATGTAAATACGTAACTATATATTAAAAAAATATTTAAAAAAATCTGGCAGTTAATGGGTTAAGGAGAAGATTGACGTCCATGAAACCTATAACGTGGGAACAGTTCTGCCAGAAAAGAATGACGGAGTTCCAATCATCGAAAACTCAAAGATAAGTTAAAATCTTCTATAAATTTTTTTTCTTTTGTTCCGAAATGTTATGCGTAAATACGAAGTTCTATGTTTTGACGAAAGTCAATGTGTCTCGGTTGAGACTTAGTTTTGTTTTACTTATTTAGCTAAGGCAAAAGTATTATTTTCTTTCAAGTATAAAATCTAAGAACAAGCAGTTTCTGTTGGTCGAAAGACTAATTCTGTTATGTTAAAGCCAAAATTTGGCCGAAGATAAAAATAACTTCGTATTCTTGTATTAATAAGAATTTTAGTTTCTGTGCCGCCAGCTTGGCGAAGAATGAGTAAAGTAAAAATTTATTTTTCTCTTATTCATTTTATGGTAAATTGTAAAAATCATATGTATTAGAATTTTGTAAATACACGTAAATACTTGAAAGTTATGTAAAAGTAGAATTTAGTCTAGAAGCATAACATTTTAGATGCTAAAAGTAAATGCTCAGAAGCAATGAATTCAAATTTAAGTATTAAACTGTAGATAAAATCATGGTTTAGAGCGAAAGCCTGCATGTCTAAAGATGAATGAGGAAGTTAGAATGAATGTGTTTTGTAGGGTTCTCCACCTACACTTGAATTTTAAGAATGTTAAGTAGCTCAGCGAGTTGTAGAATGTCGAGTAAGGTGTGTCTATTTGGTCGTTGAATTCTAACAAATCATGGTGGTTAGGGGAAGTGTTGTAATACTAAAACTAAAACGTGTTTTAGTATAAACACGAATATTCCCGTTTGACAACACACATGATGGAGAGCCAGGGTAAAGTTAAATTAAAGTTTGAATACTTGAATGAATGTGAAGTAAGCAGTAACTAAAAATAAATCGTTTAAAAACAAAAATGTATTCAGTGTCAAGAACGTGTAAATTATAATGTATTTAGAAAGATACTGATACTTATTCCTTCCAGATGCTGGAAGGAAAAGAACAAGATTGATTGCTGAAGTCCAGGAAAAGTTGCTGTAAGAAGAGACATTTAAATAATTATCTACAGAAATTTAGTATACCTTTTGTGACATAAGATTTTTTATGTAAACGAGGCTCTTAAAAGTTAGTTCAGAATTGTAGAAACTTTACAACAGGTCGTTTGTAGGACCTGCTTCCAAGTTTTCCAAATTCTGGACAGCGGCAAATGTAGGGTTATATTTTATTTTAACTAACATTTATTTTAAGTTTAAACTATCTTTCCTGTTCAAGCCTTACTTTCCCCTGGAACTGCCAATGCCAGAGTATGTAAATTTTTAGTAGAACGCGCAAGGATTCAAATTATCAGCGGAAGTATTCTGAGTTAAATAGAAAGGAAACGAGTTCGAAGTGTGCTTTCTTACTTCACGAGAGCGGAGGTAGTTAGTTAGAAATTGAAGAACCACGCGTTTCGGCCTGTGTGCTTGCCTCGGCAAATTGTTAATCTTTCAACGTAATATTCAGAGTTTGCTGAATTATCAGCGGTACTTTAAAACGCGGTGAGGTTAGTTACGTTTAGAGAGCCTCGTAGTTAGTCTCTTGTTATTATCTCCTTTTAGTTTCTTATTTTTATTTTACCGCCGGGTCGGCGTAGTTTGTGAGCGTCAAGAGCACGCATTTGTAATTTCTAAAGTTGAATAAAAAGGGACTTAAACCCTTCTCAAGACTCTGTCTAATTTCCAGTTTCAGCAGTCACCACTTTGTTGCGTGCAGGTTGGAGGCGCGCAACTGTACACGGTATTAAATGTGCTGATTTGGAAAGCTTTTGTACAAAGTTATATTGAAAAAACCGTCTCGTCCTTAATTTTTGCACACCAATGTAGTTTTGGAAAGCTTTATATATAAGCTTTAAAATATAATAACAAAAGTGTTTTGAAAAATTTCGTCAAAATTGACTATTAGAACGTAGTTGGATACATTAATTGATTATAGCAAAGAATACAAGGGCTATATGACCTAAATTGCTTTCATGGAAATCTTCTTAAGGGAAACTTCTATTCTGATACTCGGCAACTCGTGTATCAGTTTATCTAGAATAAATGTTGTTTCCAGCATATAAATGCAATATTTTCGATTACGTTACATTTATTTATACAAAATATTATGTGTTTATATAAATTCCAGTGCAACGTAATTAAACACTTGTTAAAAGGTATCAAATGTATGTACAGTTATTTATAAGTACAATTTCGAAACATCATTTTTACTATTGTTACTGTTTGAAGAAAATCCAAATGCTGCTCAAACGGTATATTGGTTAGGGAAGCCTACTGCGGTACCAAAGGGCCCGTTTCGAATCTCGGAGAAGGCATGGATATTTGTAAATGCATAGTGTCTTCGCGGTATAGGTTCACTCTAAATATATGGCGAGCCAAAAGTCCTGTCATCTTGTTTGGTGCAAGGAGAGAGAGTGGGAGGCCCTCGGACCACCCCTCGGGTCTGGGTCTCCTCAAAACTGGGGTGGAAGTAGAAGTTTAATCTCCTTGAGTGTCTACTAACCATTCTTCCAGGAAATTCATAGGCAAGACAACAACAACAAGTAAACCCAAATGAGGTTTCTATTTGTCAGACAGACTAAAATTGTGGTTGCCATTCTTTTCAACGGCTGGGATTAATAAAGAGTTAAGTTTAACATAACATTTAAATTAAACTGTGAACACTAATTTAATTAAAAGTTACTTCAGTTTTGGAAAGGGGTTAAATTATGCTACTTTATATTGTAGAAATTAATGTTCTTAAAATGCAAGGTGCAAAAACGTAACTTCGAAACTCTGACATTTGAAACTGCAGTTGAATAAGAACACAACGAAATTTTGTTCTGAATGAAACTACGCAATCCTTTTCTTAGATTTTATATTACTTGATATCCTATAGAATACAGTAACTTTCCGTTTTCTAATTTTACATTGTTGATCTTCGGTGAAAAATAAACTGGCCTTATAAAGCCTCATCTGGAACATTCTGGGGATAATGAAACCATATCAAGGATTAAAAATTAAATTATTTGATACATAAATTGAAAAAAAAAATCTAAGTAGAATGTTAAATGAGTAATCTTATACAGATTTAAATTTGTAAATATTATAAAAGCGAACACATTATCCAAAGATTCACTACAGTAGTTAGTTCATGAAAGAGCGTGGAATATATCCGACATATTTCTAATGTTAATATGCTATACACGATGCACTCTAAATTTACGCAAATAATATTCAGCCAAATATAGATAATTTTCTTTACTTTACACTGCCACTTATGCTTAGCATTAAAAGATTTTATTAGTTCTTTTCAGGTATTATCAAGGCGAATGACGTCTGTTTTCTGCATTTCCAACTTTTATTACAACATAAGAATGTGAATGATATACTTAATACAGAGGGGCGATAATTTAAAATATACAAAGATCCTAGCTGTTAGATATATTTATTTAATCACGCACACTTAAAAAAGAATAAAACTGCTTTTGATGTTAAATGTCAATTTCAACGCATTTATTTCACTCCCTTGGGTAAGTTTAAAGAATCATAATAAACTATGTTCTGAATGGACACTGTGCAGTATGAAACGAAAGAAGTAGTTCTTCATTGCATATAAAACATACAAATTATAGCACTGTAACGACCAGGGCGTTTTCTTTCGGCGCTCTATTTACACAGCAACCCCCCCTTTTTTTTATCCCGGAAGAGTGTATTAAGCTGGTAAAAATTCGCAGCTTAGCCAGGTTTTATAGCCGATAGTTTTACAGTTGCTTTCTGAGCCGTTATTTATGACGGCAATAAATTTTTAAGGAAATAGTGTGGAGGAAAACTGAAAGCGAGATAGGTTGTAAGAGTTTGTATCCATCGTTCAGAGTTTTATTGAAAGCTTCAGAAACAGTTTAACTAAATAGTTCGAAGAGTCTTTCCCAAAGTGTTGAATTCATATATGTTGAATCATTTTGTTAGGGTTTATTTATAAAAAGGGTTTTGAATATCAAGTTAGAAAGTGAAGGCTCATTTTCATATTACGCTATATTTCTAAATGCTAGGCTACGAAATAATAACTTGACAGCATAACAAAAGCACCAGAGATAAAGGATATAACTTTTAAAATATCAAATAAAATTTTATTATAATTTATAATACAGGATAATGAAAGATAATCCTGCTCGTTTGTAATATATAATTATAAAGCATTTTTATTTGATTTGCATATATATATGCAAATCAAATTTATAATATCAATCAAATATATATAATAAAATCTGTAAATCAAAATAAGTTAAATCAGCAAAAGCATTTTTATTCCTCATTTTAATTTGGGTGTTTCCCCTCTCTATTCTAAAAACAGGAAAAAAAAATGTCTCGACTGCGTCATTTCTAGAATAATCCATATCACGTGACATTTACATAACGATGGCAGCGTAGCAAATTCTGAAGTCAAAATTTCAGAAAACGGAAACCTTTCCGTTAATAACATCCATACTGGATACCTGAGCACTTTGCTTCTGCTTCTGTTACCACTAAGACGCTGCTACGTTGCTTCTCTTCTTACCAAAAAGCTATCAAAAATTTAAAATGTTTGAAATAGGAGCGATTAGAATGCCAAGCACATTCTCATTTTTTATCATGTGGGAATCAAACGTCTTCTAATTCATGTTTTCATAACCAGTATAGAACTTTCTCAAACATAAGTATAGAGACCGGGAGACCGTATTAAAAGTTAGACTTCGTTATTTGTCCAAAATTAAACTTATTTAAAAGTCTGACATTGCG